AAAAAACTGCGATTAGGAAAACATTTTATCTTCCAACAAGACAATGTCTTGTTGGAAGATAAAATGTTTATCAAAGACCCTAAACATACATCAAAGAAAGCAAAAGAGTTTTTTATCCAAAAGCAAATTGAGTTACTTGAATGGCCAGCGCAAAGTCCATATCTCAATCTAATTGAACACCTCTGGGCTATTCTGGATAAAAAACGTGGCATTTGATGTCTAAAAAAAAAAAGAAGAGCTAAAGATCATGCTACAAGAAGCTTGGGCTGATATCGACTCAGATACGACAAAGAAATTAGTTGAATCGATGCCATGTCAATTCAACTAATTTCTTTGTTGATGCCATGTTGATTGCAGAAGTCATATAAGCTAAAGGCGGTCCAACTCAATATTAAGAAGTCACAAAAATAATTACTTGGAGAAACGTTAATCTTTAAGCCTTAATCTTTAAAATTTTGTTCAGATACTTATTTAATGTTAATAAATTTCATAGTTTAAATGTATCTCAATTTTTTATCAATTAAATATTATTATAGATTTTTTTTTTTTTTTGCATATTGAATTTGTAACTAAATTTTCTTTCAGAATAATCATTTTTTTTATTTTTTATAAAGTTATTTTTTTCTGAAATAACCTGACAAATTTATTTTCCATAATAAAATATTTTGTTTGGATATTTATTTCTCTAACTGTATATATAAATATAAATCATTATTTTATAAAAATAACATTACTTTAAATTTTTTCTCAAAAATAAAAACATTTACACTTTTTTCTTACTTGCCATATCTATGGCAGAAAAATCTGAAAAAACATTTTTTTTTTTTTTATAAAATACTTATTATTTTAAAATTTTTTATAAAATTTCGCTTCACTTAAGACCAAACATGACTTACTTTAAAAAAAACTATTTTTCTGAAAATATTAGGGACCCATTAAATATTCAAGGGTGTTGTGGGACCTCTAAAAATATTTTTTTACAAAAATATTTGAAATCCAGTGTTTTTTTAATATATAGAACGCAATAAGGTGTCAGACAAAATCAAAATTTTTAAATTGTTGTTTTGTGATGCCCCCTAACATACATACATGCATACATACATACATAAATAAATACATATATATATATATATATATATATATATATATATATATATATATATATATATATATATATATATATATATATATATATATATATATATATATATATATTTTAAAATCTTTTATTACTTGATTCTTTTCGAATCAAGTAATAAAAGATTTTGATTAAAAAAAGAAATAAAAGTTAATTGATTGAAAAGTCATTTTCTTAACTCGAATTCTCAAGGGCTTTATTCTGATTTTGCTCATTCATTATGAACAAATTTAATGATATTTTTATAAGTTTAATTTGGGAAGAATTGTGTAAGGCAATACAGACTCTAAACTAGTTATTAAAAAAAAACTCTCTAAAGTTTGTTTTATACTTGCTAACTTTAAATTAATAGCAATAAATGGATGCAAATAAGGACCACAGATGCAGATTATCTACAGTTAAAAAGTGGGAAAAACTTTTGAATTGCGAGTTAGAATACGATTTAAATGGAGATGAAGTTATAAGATTAAGGTACAGTTTATGTAAAAAATTTGAAAAACGGATAAGACAAACAAAATTGTTTTCTATGACCTGGATCAAACCAGGAACAATATCAATAAAAAAAGACTCACTGGCAGCGCACTTAAGTAGTGCGCAACATAAAGAGGCCACGCAAGTTCATCAACAAACAATATTAGGTTCAGTTTCATTATTTAACCATGTTATTTATAATACTCCTATCGGGCGTGGTTTATGTAAAATGGCCGTAAAAGACGCCGACTCGTTACGGAAAAAGTTTAATATTGCATATTACTTGGCAAAACGAGAGCGTCCATTCACAGATTATCCTTATTTGATTGCATTAGAAAAGACTAATGGGGTTACAAATTTAGGAAATACTTATGGCACTGACCGTGCAGCTGCAATATTTACAGATTACATTGGCACCGTAATTAAAAACAAATTAACTGAATGTTTAAAAAATTGTAGATTTTACTGTGTTCTCTGTGATGGAAGCACAGATTCAGCTGTATCGGAACAGGAATTGATTTACATTCTTAATTCAAAAGACGGAAGTCCAAAAGTAGAATTCTTATCTATTGAAACGGTAGAGAATTCTAATGCTGTTGGCCTGAAAAAATGTATAACAGACGCTTTTACAAGAGTTGGCATTACCAATTCTTATAAACATGGGTCTTGATGGATGTATGGGTGTATGAACATAAGTCTTGATGGATGTATGGGTGTAAGTCTTGATGGAGCTAACGTTAATCTAGGAGCTTATGCTGGTTTAAGCGCAATACAAAAAGGTAGGTTCTCCTTGGCTGGAAGTTGTACACTGTTTTAACCATCGACTTGAACTTGCTTTAAAAGATGCGTTTGAAAGTTTATCTGCCTTCAAAACTGTTGACGAAATCTTACAACTTTTACAACTTTATTACTTGTATCAAAAGTCACTAAAGCGCTACCGAGAACTACAAGGATTAGCCGAAGGTTGGGGTAATAGCGTTCCGAAACCAACAAATGCATGCGGAACTCGGTGGATTGATCACAAGTATAAAGTAATGAAAATTGCTTTAGAAAATTATGGTGTGTTTATGACACATATTGAATCATTGGCTAAAACAAACTCCCAGATAAAAAAGAGAGCAGAGTTAAAAGGTTTTTTAAAGCTATGGAAAAATGCGTCTGTGCCTATTAATTTATCAATATATCTTGATGTTTTATCTCCCATTTGGCGTTTGAGTTCAAGTTTTCAGAACAATATTCATGATCCAGTAAAAGCTGTAAGAAGAGTTCAAGAACTTACATGGACAATGGCCATGCTGCAAATTCTTCTAGAAAATTCGTTAGACAATTTTCTTGATGATACAAGTGTTATGACCCATTATAAAAGACTGTCTAAAGATATTGAGACAATTGATTCAAAGCAATGTTATCAAAATATACTACTTTCTCAATATACCAAAGTTAATAGCCATGTTCTTGACCAGTACAAACTAATTATTGCAAATATTACCATATGTATGGAAGGCCGTTATCAATCTCTCCAAAAATCACCATTGTTTATGCATTTGGTAGCTTTACTTGACGTTTATAACTGGCTGTTAAATGTGAATGACGGTACTTTTGGAGATAAAGCTATAGGTGAAGTTGTTGAACATTTTTCTGAATTTTTAATTGGTGTAGGATGTGATTTGAATAATATACTTCATGAGTGGATCATTTTAAAAGCACACATGTTTCCCATCATAAGTAACAATCAAAATGAGTATTATTTGAAAATTTGGGAAATTGTTTTTTCTAAATCAAGTTTGGTCAAAGAATGCCGAAATATTCTTGATATTTTTGAACTATTTTTAATTTGTCCTTTTACAAATGCAAAGGTAGAACAAATGTTTTCATGTATGAATCGCGTAAAAAATGACTGGAGAAGTTGTCTTAGACAAGATCGTTTAGAATCTCTACTTCGGATAAGCGAAGAAGGTCCTGAGATTGACAAATTTGAACCTGATACTGCTATGGACGAATGGTATAATGATAAAGTTAGACGATTGTCAGCAAATTTTCATCTTTATCCGGAAAAAAGAAAAAGAAAGTCAGGAAAAACAGACATTGATCTAGCGACTGTTACAGTATCAGATTTGGAAGAAAGTGAGAGCGAGGAAGAATATTGTGACAACTTTTAATTTTATTTTAGCGCAATGTAACCCCTTAAAATTAAAATATCAAATAACAACTTTAAATAGCGTATGATTTTTAGCTTCGTAAAAATACTTTTACGTTAGTAAAAATCCTGAAAAATTCTAAGCATTAAAGTAGTGAAATTATTGCAAAACGATAAAAATATTTACGATTACGTTCTAATACTTTTTCTATTAACAATCAAAAAAAGTATTAGATCGTAAAAGATTCTATTATTTAGACACATTTTTTTCTTACGCTTTATTTTATTGAATGAAAAAAGTGAACGCTAACTTTTATTAAAAAATGCATTGAATGAAAAACAATAGATAAAAATATCATCGGAATTTGATAAGGTCACTTAGATAAGAAAACTGACTTAATAAAAATTTAATTATCATTCTTGTTTGTTACGCAGGTTTTTGTCAAAATGTTAAGTTTTAACATTTTATCACAATAATGTTTTCGTCATTTTTAATAGTTTTTTATAACTGTTTCAAAATTAGAGTTTTAAATATTTTTTTTTACTGTTAAAAATTTATAGAAAATTAAATATTCTAGTTGTTTTAAACAGTTTAAAATATGTAAATAAAACAGAAGATGAAATAATTAATTAAAAGAAGGTTAGGAATATCAAGCTCATTGATTTTACAAAAATACAGCCGTTAGATTTAATGCAATATGATAATAGTAATAATGTAAACTATAACTAAAGCTATTTTACAACCGCTAACCGTAAATGTTATGACATCTTATGCAAAAATGAGACTTATTATGTATGTTAATATAAATAAGTTAAAATAAATAATGCCCCCCCCCCCCACAGGGGAGGAGGGGAAGGAGTTATGAGCAACAAAAAAATTGCGATTAGATTTTTTTACGTTAATTCGAGCCCTGTATATATATATATATATATATATATATATATATATATATATATATATATATATATATATATATATATATATATATATATATATATATATATATATATATATATATATATATATATATATATATATATATATATATATATATATATATATATATACATATATATATATATATACATATACATATATATATATATATATATATATATATATATATATATATATATATATATATATATATATATATATATATATATATATATATATATACCAATAAACAGAGTATATGCTTCATGATTGCATAGTAACTTGATCAACAAATAATAACTTTACTTAAAACTTACCTCCCTTTGTTGCAATTTTTTTTAAAAGAATTTCTTTTTGTGCATTTGAACGAGTTGGTATCACATGACATTTTTCTTTAATTAGTGTTCTTTCTTCAATTTTTTTCTGGTTTAAATAAAAATAATTAAAAGCTTTTTTTTAGATTGAAAATTGTTTTAAAAGTCTTTAATTATATAACTCTTAATTATTTAACTTTTTTTAACAATTATTTTCATATTATTTTGTAAAAAGTTTTAAATGATTGTAATTGTTATTTACTTGGAGGTGGTTGAATAAATTTACATTCTATAAATACGTATAAAAATTTTCAAGTGACGTTTTAAGAAAAATAGTGGAACTCAGGTGATAAGAAACAGTGGATCAAAAATTCCTTGCAAATAAACTAAAAACTGCTAAAATTTAAACTTAAATGCCTGCAAGCCAGGTCTAAATATAAAGTATAATAAAAATGCCCTTAGGCGGCTTTAAATATGTTATTAAAATATATTGAAATATAATATAAATATGTTGAAAAACAAATATTTTTGTAAAAAAATGTTTATCAAAAAATTTAAAAACAATTGGCATTATTTAGATTTGCTCAGCAAAATATTTTTTATGCAATCAATAATTCCTTCAAATTTAAAAACTCAAATATAAAAAATAGAAAAAAATATACACCAAAAATTTTCATTCTCACCACACCTCCCCACAACAGTGTTAATGTTTGAAAAAAGAGTACAAACCCAAACTAAATTTTTTTAACAAAGTATGATTATAGTATACTCAAAAAAGTATTTCATAAAATTCAAAAAGCATGTCCTGAAAAGGAAAGCTGGTTATTGTGAGAGGAAAAACTTGTGTATTTTTCTCTCATTAATATATACAGAAAAACAACAGGTTTAGAATGAACTTCATAGAAATACTTTTTTAAGGCATGACCAGTAGCTAATAAACTAATTCTTTAATAAATACCAATATTTAAAATAACATTTTTATATTAAATAATAAATATAATAAATCAAAGAATCCTGTCAAAATCAATAAAAATAAATATTTTGATTAAAACAGGTTGTCGATGTAGACTGAACATAATAAAGCCTCTGCATTGTATGAAAGAACAACACGTAATAGATCATTCTGCATTGTATGAAAGAACAACACTTAATAGATCATTCTGCATTGTATGAAAGAACAACACTTAATAGATCATTCTGCATTGTATGAAAGAACAACACTTAATAGATCATTCTTGTATGTTTCTTTGTGGAAATCACTTGGAAGTTTATATCTAGAAAAATCACTGAATCTTGAACAAATAGTTTTTCCTGTCTGTTTGCTGTAAATTCCCAATGTACTTCCTTTTTTCTACAAAACTCCTTTACATGGCAAAATAATATATGCAATTTGGAACTCTTTGTTTTGATCTCTAAAGTAATAAATATATCAAGAAAATCATTTATTGCTTTTTCAAAATGGAGAAAGTTTTTTTTCGATTTTTTCTGCTCCCAGGCTATTTTCCCATTTCTATTGTTTATATAAACATATTGTTAAAATTTTTTAAGCCTGATTTAACGTTTAAGGTTGCCACCGTGCGCTAGAATTAATAGAATTTATGTATTTTTTATGGTTTTTTACCATATAAAAGCCTATATTTAATGTAATTTTTTATACCATACATTTTAAGTTGATAAACACTAAACAAACATATATATCAACAGAATTAATGGTAAATTGAATATATATATATATTATATTGTTAGTGAATTGTATAGTAATTAACAGGATTATATGTGGCAAAAATGTGTTATAACATGAATTGATATCTTAACTCAATCCCCTCGTGCTACACTCCATTGACAAGTTGACTTTAATTAAGTGTTTGTGTTTTATTACATTGTTCAGGTTTTTGATGTATCCTTTTATTATAACATTAAACAAAGGTAATGGTTTTTACTAGAATATATTATACCTAACTTTTATAGATTTTTATTTAAATTATAGTTGGCAGCCTTTTGTTAGCAAATACTTTTACATTGTTGATTCCAAAAATGGGTTTAATGATACGTTTGTTTCCTTTGGATGGGTTTAGTTTTATCTTAATATAGTTTAAACAACTACCTAATATGAATACAATTTATATGTATAATATAAATATTATAATATAAATGAATAAAACATATATATACCTTAACTATATTGTTAGTATATGATTGGTGATTGCTTTAGACATGGCTGAATCAACAATATCAAAAAGAAGACAACAAAATATTTGGTTGATAGGAAATTCTATTGACGCTCTGAGCCAAACAATTATTCCTACTAATGGGGATATTTTGAAATTATTTTTTCACCTTATGAACTGTGAATTTAAAACTGAAAAATCAATAAAATCAAAATGCATTGTTGCTGATGCAGTATGTGAAGCAGTTCTAGAAGTCTGGCATAAGACCGGTATTGAAACTTCAAGGAAAGATAAAATCAAAGAAAAAATAACTAAATTGCACGATGAACGTTCAAAAAAGAAAAGGCCAAAAATCAAATGAAACTAAACAAAATAATTTTGTAACAATGCTTGAAAACTATTTTTTCATTGCCCACATTAATGCTGAAGAAACCATTCAGAAAGACAGACTACGGAACGATAAACAAAAAAGTGAAAACATTATTCGAGATCAAAGATAACAAAAGAGTTGAACTAGGAACACCAAATAATCAATACGCAAAGAAACTAAAAATGAAAGATGAACGAACCAAAAAAGAACAAGAGATGGCAATATTGGTAAAAAAAGGCCTAAAGAATTCAAATATTGAACATTTAAGTTCTTCAGAAAGTGAAGCAAATCAAGATTGTGATTCATTCTCAAGTGAAGCAAGCATCAGTGAAATACTTGTGAAAAAAATGCAAAGTGATCAAAGAAAAACTTTGAAAAATAATCAAACAACCAATACTGAAAATAAGATTCAGCTACTATTGCCAAAAAATCCATTCTTGAATCCAAACATTTGCCAAACCGCTGATAGGCTGAACTTGTCCTTGGGACAAACAACAGCATTTTTAAGAGCTATTGCGAAGAAAGGAGGTGCTTCCTGTAGTAATGTTACACTATCAAAGACAAGTTCATATAATGCCAGCAAATATAATCGCCAAAACATTGCGAAAAACATCAAATCTGACTTTAACAAGCCGGACTTCCTGACAATTCATTGGGATGGAAAAATAGTTGAAGGGGATGGGGAACAATTGGCAGTTTTAGTTGCAGGTGCACCAAATTATGTAGAAGAAAAGTTGCTGGGCATTCCAAAAATCATGAATGGGGCAGGACTAGTCCAAGCAGAGACAAGCTTTGATCTCATTAAAGACTGGGAGTTGAACAAATCTATCATGAGTATGGTATTTGATACCACAGTTTCCAACTCAGGATGGAAAAATGGAGCTTCTGTCATTCTAGAAAAAAAGTTGAATTCTAAGCTGTTTTATTTACCATGTCGCCACCATATATTTGAGATTATTTTGTTGTCTGTATGGAAACACCTGTTTAGCCCAACAACAGGCCTGACCAATATAGAATTTCTAAAATTAAAGAACTCTTGAGACACAACCCCTGACAATTTTAAATTGCTGGACGTAAATGAACGTTCGTTGAAATAAACAAAAGAAGATATGATTAATTTTCTTAAACTGTCCCTCCAAGAACATACATTTATAAGAGATGATTATAGGGAATGCATTTGTCACATTTGTCACTCCTTGGTGAGAAAAATGTGAAAAAGGGAGAACAATCGCTTAAGCCAGGAACTATCCATCACGCTAGATGGCAAACATTCTATATGCAACTAAAATGTATGCATTCAGTGAGTACTTAGGTTATAATAAAAATATGATTCAGAAACTGCATCATTTTTGGCTATTTACAAGCTTATTCTATGTAAAAGTTTGGTTGACATCTTCAAACGCCATAGATGCTCCTATCAACCACCTACAGTTTTGGAAGAACATGCAAATGTTTAAAAAAATTGACCCAGGAGTAGCAGAAGCAGCTTTGACAGCTCAAACAAGACACCTATGGTACCTAAGTGAAGAAGTTGCACCCTTTGCCTTCTTTTCAGGATCTGTGTCTACCCATGAAAAAAAGAAAATTGCTTCAACAATTCTGAAAAAAAATAAACGATGAAAATATGGAAACTGGAGTGCTAGTAATGCCACAGATGAATCAAAACGTGAAAGTGAGCCTCTAATTGGAAAAAATTCTAGGCTTCTTTTTGATCTTTTGAAAGTAAATACTAAGTGGCTTTCACTGTACCCCGATGAATAGTCAAAAAATTATGAATTTAACTACGTACCTGGGATATTAAAAGACCTAAAAGTTGTCAACGATTAGCGGAAAGGTCAGTTAATCTAGTTACTAAATTTAATCAGTCTAACATGGGATAAAAATCAAAAGTAGTGCCTTTTCCAAGTAGTGGAACAGCATAGAAGGAACATGCCAAAGTTTGATAAAGCATCAATGTTGATGAAAAAGTTGAACTCTTTTTAATAAATATGTATGTAAATGCATGAATATAACTCTGTTGGACTTATTGGAACATCAGTTAATAACATTTTCTTTTATAATGGAAATACATATTTTTACAATTTATACAGTTTTTATTTTATTATAATTTTTCTTTTGTGAATTTTTAAGTCTAAATATGTTTTAGTGAATTAGAATCTAATATAGAAACATTTTAATTTAATATCTGTAACATTGTTTCCAATTGATTAGTTATATACAAATAATAAGGTAATTAAAGTTTTTTATAATTTTGTTTTGTTACTCATTTCATAAACTAGTAATTACTTGAATCTCAAACATTTATTTTTTATTTTGCATAAAGGTCTTAATCAATTAATTATATGATTGTGTTCTAGTAGCAATTTTTATGTTTAGATTCATAGTTGTAATCAACTAAAGGTATTAATTAATGTTCTGCATTATTATCCCAAATTCATGAATGAGATTAAACTTTAATAATTCATGATAACTTTAAAAGGCTGGCAGCAATGTCAAATCAGCAGGTATTGACCTGAAATTTGAATAATGGTTATATCTTATCAAGTCAAATGGGAAAATTACCAGGGAGCTCGTATTTTCAAAAAAAAAAAAAAATTCTGAACACCCTACTGAGTATCTTGCTAAAACACGAGTAAGTCACAGTATTAAATGCATCAAAGACATCACAAAATCCCCTTAGATCTTCAGGAAGAGTATCTCTAAGCTTATTGTTAATCTCATCAGTTTTTTAAACTGGTTTCCTTCATGAAATTTTTGTCTGACAAGGGAATTCCTTTTTTAGGAAAATTTCCCATTTTTTTTGTCCCTATCTTATTGCTAGGTTATTCCACAGTAACTGTTCCTGTAATGGAATGAAGTTTGGGTATATAGCACACTTCCATAACTTCAGTTTCATCATCTTCTGGCAGAAGTGGTTGGTTCTTGCAATCATAAAATTTTTTCAGTGATAAGTCAGAATTACATCCTCGTTTCCAAACAAGATTTTTATGTCTAATTGATCCTAAGGTTCGTTTATCTCCTGTAGAGAAGAGCCAATCTACACAATCTGTACTCTTATTACAGAAGCAGCAAGAATACTTTGATATATGGTTTTGAAGTCCTAAAATCATATTAAGTAGTTTCAAATCCACGCAAAGTGTAAATTTCCAAAGCCAATACTTTTGAAAAAGACAGCACAGTTTTCATAATTCTCCTGAATATTTTGGACTATTCCCAAGAGTAATGTCTGATCAACGGACATTTTTTTTTTCAGGTTTAGACAAATGCCCTCGGAGTGATATCAGCATTGAAGTAACTTGTTACCTCAACAGTACCAATTCCAAACTTTAAACTTCCACCGCCGCCAACAAATACTTTCACCTGAACATTAAAAGTGTCTTGTTTTCTTTTTTCAATCATTTTCCAGGTGAGTTTCTCCACATCTTTAACAAGAGCAACAGGTCGCACATTTAAAGTCTCAGTTTCTGATTTATTGAAATCAAGGTCTAAAAAAAAACACTGTTATTTGAATGGACATGCTTTTCGAATTTGTAAAGCTTTTTAGTGTACACTATAATCATACCTTGTTAGAAAAATTCAATTTGGGGGTGTAAACTTTTTTCAAACATAAACACTGTTGTGGGGAGGTGTGTCAGTGTACTATGAAACCAAATATAGAAACATCAAAAAATAATTGCTGATTTTTTATTGGAAGAAAAACTGTACGAAAGTATATAGCATCTAAGAATATGTATAATATATTAGTTTGTTACTCTGGAATAATAAAAGACTCCAATCAAAGTTTAAAATTGTATTTTACTTCTGTGCCATTCTTAACGTATGATAATCTAAAACACTTTGCAGTGTTTTAGATTATCATACGTTAAGAATGGCACAGAAGTAAAATACAAAACAATCACTTGATCACTTTTACAATCATCAGCATATCAAAAGAAGACTTAAAGCAATTGATCCAAAAAAGTCCACTGGATTTAATGGCATCCACCCACAAGTTCTCTTAAATTCTTTCTCAAGTATGGCTTTACCTTAAGCAATAATTTATGATCTTTCAATAAGCACTGATGTACCCAATAGATGGAGAAAACCAAACATCAGCCAGTTTTTAAGAAAGACTCCAGGGTACTGACTTTAAACCACAGGCAGTCTCGTTAACATCAATTCTGGAAAAACATCATTCTGGAGGTTATCATGTATCACTGTGAAGTCACAGGTATCATCTCAAACATGCAAAATATATTTGTGTTGAAAATAGCATGTGTGACTAACTTATTAGAAACCCTTGACATAATATCACAGAGGCTTTATATTAAGGATGTAAAGCCTCTACATCAAGGATACTGTTAACATCATTTTTACTTTGAAAAAGAGTTCGATGCAGTGTCTCACAGAAGACTCTAACAATGTCTCACTACATAAACTTAATGATGAACTTGAATATAACTAAATGTAAGGTCATATTGGTCCAGAATTAACTAAATTGAATCATAAGTATTATACATACAATGACACATATTAGCCCATATTAAACAAGATTTAGGTATACTCATTTTGGGTGATCTTAAAGTTAAAGCGCAAATGAATTCTGCTGCTATGAAGGCCAATCAAGCATATTAACACAGAGGTTTAAATCTGTGTTTAAATTCAAAACTAACTAGTTTACAAACTAATACAAGATATAAATGTTCTGTCGAGTTTAAAAGAATTCAATAACCACATCAAGGCACAGCAGTCTAATTAAAAAAATTCAACAAGATCTTTGCTTATTTTGAGAGAAATATGACAAAGTATGCAAATCAATTATAGAAATTATATTAATTTTGGCCATAATTTTGTTAACCATCAACTATAAAACATCTTTTCAAACCTCTGTAAAAAATCTCTTTTGTAACTATATAATAAAAATATATTTTTTAATAAAATAAACGCTGTTGAAAAACTTGTAATAAACGCTTCTTCAGTATATCCAAGGACGTATGAATAGATCTATTAATACAATATATCCAAACATAAGTTGTTTTAAATAACATGCATTAGACTATATTTTTAATTCGCAGTTCAATTGTAATCACCATATCAAGTGGGAGATGAAAAGGGTTTAGAACCCATTCAACAAGAAACTACGAAAGTAATTTTTTTCAATATCAAAACCGCGATACAAAAATAGACTTGAAGCACTGTGGCTTGACTTGACCACTCTGATTAATAGAAGGATAAGAAGTAATATGATACAGCAGTTTAAAATAATATGTTAGATTGATGTTAATAACTAGCACCACCCACCAAGGTTGCTTCCCTTTTTGTGGTACTTGTGGTTATGCCATGCAAATAAATTGTCAACTTGTAAAGGGTTGCAAACAGAGACAAAATTTCTTCACAAATCGTATAGTTAGATACTGGAACTCTTTGCCAGGGAAAATTATTGATGCTCTTGGTTTTAAAAAACTAAAAGAACGATATGATCATCACAATAGGTTGGGTGAAAAAAAAAAAGCAATTACTTTTACTCAGTAATTGGTCAGCTTTACGTGGATAAAAAATTCAGCAATTTTTCTCAAGTATTTATTCACATAAAGCTGAGCAATTACTGAGTAAATTGCTTAACTTTACATGAATAAAAATTGTGCAAAACTGCTGAAGTTTTTATTCACGTAAAACTGACCAATTAATGAGAAAATGCACTTGCTTTCTTTTATTCACCCGGCCTATTGTTATAAAGTAAAATGAGCATAAGCTCGTGTTATTTATGTGACAATAAGAATATTGTGATTTTCTTTTGTGCTTGGTTGTTTTGGTTTTTTAAAATAATATTTAAGTTTTTATAAATGTACAAAATGCATAAACAACTTTTGGTTCTGTATAGGAATGCTGACACTATTCTGATGCATGATAACAAATATTTTTAACAATAAATTAAACAATTTTTTATAAAGAAAGCAATATTGTTAATAGCCAAAATATTCTTACTTTCTTTTCAACTATTTTTTCTTTCATTTCAATCTTTCGTTTCTTTGACTTTTTACTTTTACTCAATATTCCATCTTGCTAAAAATAGAGCATTAAACATATAAATACACATATATAAAAAAATCATAATAATTTTAAGAAAAAATTTCAAAAGTACTCAAAAAACATTATTAATTAAACATTAAATATATAAAATGACATAATTAAAAATCTTGGTCATTGTTTTAAAAAGCTTTAAAAATAAATGACTGAACATTCAAACTCTCTGTAATAAACAACAGAATAAACGCTAAAACACAAAACATTGGTCAAACTCAATTATGAAACAGCAAAACAAACTTTGACAAATAAAAACAGTATTTAACTTTCATATAAAGTATTTTTAAACTGGTTTAGCTTTTTTATAGTCTAGGTAATAATATACAGGTAAAAATGGAAAGAATCTCAATAAGCAAATAATATACAAATGTTGTAGTTAAATTTTATATCATTTTAACAATGATTTTTTTTATTCAAAAATTGCTTCATCAAATTATATTTGACCAGCGGTTATAATCTGCAAGCTAACAATAGCAACAAGCCTTTTACATGTCTTCGGTATGTCATGTACTACCTAAGTGTATTTCATCATGTACTACATAAATTACATTTTTTTTTATTTTAATTCACCTCCTCAAGATCGAGAAGGCCACTACAGACAAGGAGGCTACTTATTTGTGGTTATAACCCTCTCTCAACTCTATAACTCCGAAACACGAACTTTGACGAACAAGGCTGCTGCGCGTAGAAATGAGTTAAGCGCGGTACTACCAGGGTGGGGATCGAACTCGGAACCACTCATTTATGAAGCAAGCGCTTATCTTGTCATATCATATTTTGCCATGAACTACATAAGTGTAAATAAGTACATATGTAGTTTATAAAAACTACATAAGTTTTTATTTACACTTTATATAGTTCATAAAAATTGTTTCCTTAAGATGTATTAGATTGCAATTTTTGAGCTTGATTGTGATTTTGTGATAAATAAATGAGAAGTAATTTTATCAAGCTTTCAACACAGAAGCACTACCACTTTATTTAATATCTTATATATTTTAATATAATGGAGGGTTTATTGTTAATAGTTCAATTCTGTTCGTTGTTATTCACTGACTGTTCATTTTGACTACTTTCATATCTCTTTTCTGGATCATCAACTTGTGTCAGATTCTGTTGTAAAAAATTTTGACCAGCTTGTATGTCAGGACAACATGCAAACTTTTGATTCCCTGCTGAACATAACCATTTCAAAAATTTAATGGTAAGACCATCAACAATTCACATTTTAGTGCATTGTACACAAAAAAAAAGAATATGTACTTTTGGATAGCAAGAATGCACCATTTAGATCTGCAAAATTTATAGAACCTCATTTTTTTGATATGCTATATGATATTAACTTATATGCTGCATAAAGCCCCTTAAGGTTTTGTTTTTTATTTTTATTTTTAATATTTATACAAATCGATTTTTTTTTGATTTTGTCTAACTTTAAGGTTACACAAAATCAAAAAAATGTAGTATGTAACAAATTTTACTATTGAAAAAATAAATACAATGTGTTTATTTTTCCAATACTAACATTCTTTTCTTCCAGACATTGACCTTAAATACTCATTATCGCAGTAAAAAAGATTTAAACAGTCTAAAATATTTGTGCTGATTCAATGCCATTCAACCACATTACAGTATGGATTGATATCTTTTTTGTTGCATAAAAATGATATCTTTTTTGTGGCATTTGCCTTTAATGCATAGGGAGATTGTACCCAGGTTGATTTTACACAGACTGTCTGTAAAGTGAAATGATTTCTTTTACGATTTATAAAAATTTTATTAAAGCCATATAAATTTTTTTTTAATTTATATAAATAATATACATTTTGTTGTTCATACAATTAAAAAAATAAAAAATAAATATAAATGAAAATGTTTACATAAAAAAGATTTAAATAAACAGACAGAGGAGTTCAAAGTGGCTTTAACAAGTATAAAATAAAAAAAACTGTTAAATAAAAATCAAAGTATAAATGAATAAAAACCTAATTGAATATTTACAATAAATTAAGAAAAATAAAATAAAAATCAAATATAAATTCTCATAACATTTCAAACTTACTCATTAGGTCTTAAAGAATAGGTAATGTTTAGTTTAAACTCAAACTTTGTTTTAAAATATTGGTTTAAAAGTTAATTTTTGAAATGAGTTGAAATCTATTGATCTCATATACATTTATCATTTTTATGTCCGCCAATAATGGCTTTGCAATCTAAAACTGTTATTTTTATTTATTATTTTTTTTATTTCCAAATATTTTTTAAGTTTTTGCATACACTAGATCATTTCCAGAGGATAGCTAAAAATAAGCTCAAAGCATGTCAAAAATAAAACTTAGTTGCAAAAACTCTTATTATTGTTATTCTCTAAACTTTCATAAAGCAAATATGAGATATTGAAGTTGTCAATGCTATAAATACCTTGTCTTGTAATGGGTATCAAATTGATTTCATCCTAATGTTAATTTAATTGCATAACTTTTCATATAAGCATGTTTTATAGAGACAAATTTTTAATATGACATTGATTATTATCAGACTAGATGAGTATATTGTTAATTAAATTATCATTAAAAATATGATATTCACATCTAACTTAATTCCAACAACTTCTGCAATAATTACTTAATCAGCAACTTGAAGTTAGTTATTTTTTGACTTAAAAAAAGAGGGGGGATAAAGCCGGAAATATGTCAATTTACCATTACCCTTTTAACAAACTTGTGCTAATGTTGCGAAGCTAAATCATAAACTTATATCTCTCAAAACAATAAAATATAGTTTATTTTTAGATCCACAAAACGCGCTTGTTAATGACAATAAAAAAGGCCATTGACAACTATAGTTCTAGAAAAAATCTGACTGATGAAAAAAAGTTTTGGTTTTCGTTATTTTAAATATTAAACATATATCTACTTTGCAAACCAATTTTTATTTGGCCTTATGTTTTATCAAGGAGTTATCGATGCTTTAGTTTTTCAATTTTTCTAACGATATTTCTCGGTGTAGTTAAGTCTGTATGATATTTTGTTGACTAGGACATATTTCCGTTAAATTGTCTGGTCTGTGAATTATGAAAAGACGAAAAAATTTAAAATAATAAATTTTGCGGTATCATAAAATAAAAATGTTTGTAGCGAAAAAACGCAGACCATGGAATATTTAAAAAAAAAAAAATCATCTTAAAATCACAATCGCTTGTTCAAATTTAAATAAGATTTTATATTATTACGTTTTTTAGGTGAAATGAACATTATAGTTTAACTATATGATCTGTTCTGATAAATTAATGGCAATTTTTTATAATTATAAGCTCTTTCTTGATCGGAATTCCAGTATTTTTTGTGAAAATTGATAGAAATATTGTGTTTTGACAACTATATATAGTTAATATAAGTCAGAACCAATTAGAACTAGGATCAGTAGTAAATTAAGAAACTTTTTTAAAAGATTTAAACTAAATTCATGTTAATGCCGATGAGCAGAATTGCTTTGTAAATAATTATGGAGCTTGTTATAAACAATAATATACTCAAGAAAGAAATCTGATTGAAGATATTGACAGCAATGATCGTAAGCTACTCGAAAAATAAACAAATCTGAAACAAGAACAAATTACTAATATATGCACACACGATCATGATATGTTAGTTGTAAGATATGAGGGTAATCAGAAAAGTTTCTGTAATCCATTTTTGAATCACCAAAAGGTGTGTAGAGGAAAAAATTTATATATTTATATTTCATTAGGTAATATCATTATTAATAAGTCATATAAGTTTTTTTGGTAATAAGATTTGTCCAATGTTTCATAGTTATTATATAACAAATTGTATGGTAATATAATTACATAATACATATAATTAATGTTATTTAAGTAATGTAATTACTTTCTTTTTAAGCATCTCTACGTATGATTACAATGCATACTGTGTTAGAAGCAGAAACCATAGGTATCTTCTTATACCTGGAAAATACCATCTTATACCTGGATCTTATACCATCTTATACCATCTTATACCTGGAAAAAAACTGTGTCTAACCTGTCGAACTAAAGTTATGACATGTTTATCAATAAGTATAAGTGAAAATAAAAATGATGAAGATTTTGATATTGTTAATGAAAGATCCATTTAAAATAAAAAAGAAAGTGTAGATACACACTTTGCATCTGCCGGAGTATCTCCAATTAAGGTCAAAAGATTGCACAAGTCAGATAAAATTAGAGAAGGTAAACGAAAATTGACAGCATTAACAACCTCCATTTAAAAAAAGGTAGCCATTTCCCTTAATATATCAGAAGAAAGTTTTGAAGAACAGTCAAGTTTTAATAATAAGTATATGGAAAAAACAAAGTTGTTTGATAACATGATGGTATTGTTAACTAACAAAATTTCAAAGTCTCCATCAACATCAAAAAAAGTACAACTTGCGACACTTGCTCCAACAGACTGGTCAATAAAAAAGGTATCTGAAACATTGCATGTAACAAACTATGTAGCTCAAACTGCACGTAAGTTAACATTAGAAAAAGGTATTTTAACCATGCCTAATCCTAAATTAGGAAAAGCTCTTCCTGATGTAACAGTTCAACTGGTCAAGACCTTTTACGAAGACTATGAACATAGCAGTATAAGGCCTGGTAAAAAGGACTATGTAAGCATAAAGAAAAATGTCCACATGCAAAAACGTTTGCTCTTATGTAATTTAAAGGAATTGTTTGTTGCCTTTAAAACCAAGAGCCCAGAAATAAAAATAGGATTTTCAAGGTTTTGCGACCTAAATGGTGTATTACTGTTGGTGCCTCAGGAACACATTCTGTATGTGTCTGTGCTATTCATCAGAATTTGAAACTGCTTTTACATCCTCTTGGTGTGACATACAAAGAGTTGTTACCTTAAATTGTCTGTGATATAACTAATAAAGACTGTATGATGAGGAAATGTGAAAAATGCCCAGCAACTATGAATGCATTGGTTGAAAACCAATGATATACTTTATGATATACTTAGAGAATTTGAAGATGATGATGAGATTGAATTTGATCAATTGACAACAACAGATAGGTCAAACTTGACACATAATAAAGAGCCAGTGTTTGAATACATTGAACTAGTATGTAAAAAACTGGAAAAACTTGCACCACATTCGTATTTAGCAAAGAGTCAAGCATTATACCTGAGATCAAGAAAGGAAGATATGAATGAGGTAACAGTATTATTTCTGGGTGATTTTTCAGCAAACTATAAATTTGTAGTTCAGGATGAAGTGCAAAGCTTTCATTGGACAAATTTGCAATGTACATTTCATCCAGTAATTATTTATTTTTAAAAAGAAGGCATTCTCAAGCACAAATCCTATTGCATTATTTTGGATGATATGATCCATGATGTGAACATGGTTTATAAAATTATTGAGGTTGTTTGCAATGATATAAAAACAAATTTGCCTCAAATAAAAAATATTGAATACTTTTCAGATGGGTGTGCAGGTCAATATAAGAATTGCAAAAATATGTTAAATTTTTGTTTCCATTGTAAAGATTTTGGTTTTACTGCTAAATGGAGCTTTTTTGCAACTAGTCACGGTAAGCAACCTTGTGATGGTATAGGTGGTACAGTCAAACATCTGGCAACACTAGCAAGTTTGCAAAGAGATATGGATAATCATATTTTATCTCCACAAACATTGTATAAATATTGCAATGAAAACATTGAAGGCATAAATTTCATATATATTTCATCAGAAGATTTAACTTTGGTGAGAACCGCTCTTAAAGAACGATTGGATACTGCTAATACAATACCTGGAACACGTAGTTACCATCAGTTTGTACCACCTGGCCATCAAAAGGTAAATTATTATTTTTTAATTATACCTTTTACCATATTTTAAAATACACGCATAACTTTTATTGATAAACTCAAGTAGATATTAAATTTTTGCAGAATCATTATCAAAAATATTTGTATTTTATTTTATTTCCTCTGCATTATCTATCCATTTAATAAAACATGTTTGATAAGTAAAACGGAATAATTGCATATGTTACTATTTTGTTTAGGTAGGCACTAAGCTATGCAGTGTTGATGAAGAATTTGCTTTAATTCATGACTTTGAAAATATCCAGATAACAACTGTAAACCTAGTACCAGGTGATTATCCCTGTGTTTCCTATGAGCAAAAGTGGTGGATAGGAGTCGTTGAAGATATTAATTTAGAAGAAAAAGATGTGCTTGTAAAATTTATGTGTCCTAATGGTCCTGCACGGTTGTTTAAATGGCCACCAAAGAAAAGCCAATGCTGGATTCCTGATGTCCACATTATTTGCAAAGTTGAGGTACCGATAACAAAAACAGGACTTTGCTACTATTTAGCTAAAGAGGACTTAAAAAAAATTATTTTCCTAAGGAAGTAGAAATTTTTATATTAATGAGTCTATTATGTCTTATCCATTCTTTTTTTAAATATTATGTTTTGTGAAGCAACTTGTAAATAATGTGAATGTAAAGCATATATAAAATCACTAAAGTTTAGTATTTAAAAAAAAAAAATTATATACGCTTAAATTTTGTTGTAAATATCATATGAAAATGAAAAAGATAATAAAGTCACTAAATTTTTAGTTTCTGATTTGATTGATTGGTAAAAGGTGGGGTTATATTAAGTGTCTAATTTAAAAAAATATTAAAAAATTTTGTGTCTATATCAAACATCAATAATTCCTCAAGTAAATAAAAGGCCAAAACAAAATTGGTTCGAAAAGTAGGTGTTGATCTTATTTTTAAGAAAATCGAGATTAAACTTTTTTTATATCAGTCAGATTTTTTTTATAGCTGTAATTGTCAATGCCCTTTTTTCTCGGTGTTATAAAGTGTATTTTATGGATCTTAAAATTAGCTAGATTCCCTTGTTTTGACATACAAAAAACTATATTTTTCGGATTTAACAGGTTTTAAACTCTTTTGGTACAAAGTTTCAGAACTGTGGCATCACTACAAGCACCATATTGAAGGTGAAAGTAAACGGAATGATTTTTGGCCCTTTTCCCCCCTCAGTTGTTAGTCAAAATCAAAGAAACTTCAAATTGCTGTAAATTATAAACGGTAAGGAATTTTATGAAAAAAAATTACAATCTTTCGTAACATATGTCTATAAACATTTGTGCCAAGTTTCAAAAATTTTGGTGATATAGGGTGCAGATTTGTGTTTTTTTGTATTTTTTGAGAAATTTTTACCCTATAGTAGTAGGCTAGTGTTAAAACACTTCTCACAATCTAGAAATTAAGTTTGGAAGATTCAAACTTAACCTGTTTCTCAGTAGCCTTGTTTAACAAAGGCAAGATTTCAGAGTTTAAGGTTGAAAGAAAAATGCAAATGAATTTAAAAAAAAAAAGCCTTGTGAATTGTAGTGGTCCTGCAAAGCCTCTGGTCCTGTAAGCCTCTGAAGGCTTTATGGCACTCTGAAGGCTGAATGGCACTTCTGAAGGTTTAATGAGGTGGATTAAATTAAAAAAAACAAAAACAATGTGATTTGAGTAAAAATGAATTCAATTATAAAAGTAAAAAGTAAAAAAAAGTATTATGCAATTATAACCATGATTTTATTGTTGTTGGAGCAATACTCCTGAGTTTTGCACTGAATTATAAATTTAGAACCTATAAGTTAAGAAAATACCAACTTTATAGCAACTAAACAAATTTCAATGTGTGTCTTATTTAATATTTAAAAATTCATAATTAAAGTTAAATTCACTTTACTTTATTATTGGATATTGGTTTCTCTAAGATTTTGTTAATTATGTCTGCCATTCCAGCAATTCCTTGCTTCTTTGACTCACCTAAAATATATAGAAATTTAATGGTTGCTACCTTAAAAACCGCAGAAAAATAAAATATTTGGTTTTTCAATTATCAAACTAAAATTAGTTTAATAAAAAAAAGCAAATGGTTAAAACAATTTGGTTTAAACCAAATTATTTAAACTATGGTTTATCAATAGTTTAAGGCATGGTAAACATTTTTAAAAATGTTGGTTTAAACCAAACTAAGATAAAACTTTAAAAAAGGAAGTAAAAGAAGGGGCATTTTTGCAAATGTTTAATATAAATGCAACCCTCTAAATTAGGAAAAATGAGGTCAGCAATAATTTACTAGAATCTTTTAGAGCTTTTTATTGCTAAAAATCTTTTAGAGGTCAGTATCAGGTCTGCAAAAAAAATTTGATACAAAGGTCTTACCATAAAACATAGAAACAAGGTCGGCAGTTTTTTACTGACCTCAAACACTTTTAGGTAAGCATTTAGGACAGCATTGCCAATTCCAAGGGCTGCAAATGCAATTATATAATGATTCCTAAATCGGAAACTATATAAAATCATTTTTATTTTTGGATTTTGGATTTATAATTTACATAGAAGGATTATTAAATGCACTAGCTTCTTGTGAAAGAATTAAAAGAATATTAACTATCCAGCTCATATATTTAAAGGTGAGAAACAACTGATAATGGAGGATTGTGTCGATTGAGTTAAATAGGCAAAAAATCTAATCTTTCTCTATAAAATGTTAAATAACTATATATTGAAAACATTGATGAGTTTACTTGAAATACTGATAGACAAGTTTTGAAGAATAAAATAATATTTAATAATAAACATTAAAAACAGTTGATATAATAAAGTTATACAATTATTAAACGAAAAAATGTGTGCAATTCACAATTTTCCAAAAAAAATAACTAAACAATACATCTAATTATTGTGAAAATGTTAAAAAAAAGCAACATTATATAAAAAAATAATATTTTATATACAGATTATTATTTTTGATTTTATATTTAAAAACTATGGCTTTTAAACATAAAATAAAATAATTTTTTATTTGAGATGTGTGTGTGTGTGTGTGTATACGTATATTATTTGAGATGTGTGTGTGTGTATACGTATATATTCTACACAACTTTATTAAACAACAACTTGTACTCATCCCACAAGAGTTTTGCTTTAAAACACCACACCCCTATAACATTTTAAAGTTACATTACGTCTCAATCGGTTACAATTGGTAACAAGGTTACATTCTCTACTTTTTATTCAACTATTAAGTAAATAAACTTGAAAATGCAGTAAATGTTTGTTCATCATTGCCGTATTGCTAAATACTTTTATTTTATTTTATTTTTATTGTAAAATAGCTTCGTCTCAATTCGTTACTTTGTCACGAAAAAACAAAAAGTCTCAATTCGTAACATTACGTCTTAATTGGTTTTTTTTTTAAACTTTTTAAAGAGTAATTAGTTGAGACGTTATGTAACGTAACAAAATCTGGATTTGAGACTTACTAAAATACGTCTCAAACATAAATTTTTTTAACGTTACTTCAAGTCTAAATTCGTTACACTCTTACAAGTAAAAAATAGACGTAAGGTAACGTAAAAAAAAAATTATATTTGTGACGTGTTATAATTGAGAAATAATTTTTTATTTTTATACGTAACAAGTCGTTTCCATGGGTTACAGTAACAATATTTAAAATAAGAAATTAGATTGCTTGTGGGTATTTTTTTTAAAAAAAGACTGCATTGAATTCAATGCATTTACAACTGTTAATAAAAAGAATTTGTTAAATAACGTAAATCATTAATGAAATATGGTATTCAACAATGCGTTCGTCGAGACATTAGTAACTAAAAAAAATTTTAGAAAAATTACCAATTCCATTTTTTTAAAGATGTAGATATTATTTTTATATTTTATAGATTCTCTGCAGCTAAGATCGCAAAAACGCATTAACGCCCATAAGGTGGCAGAGGCGCTCTGGGATCAATTAAAACGAATGCCAATGCATGCAAAACGCGCAGCAGTCAAGGCAGAAGCCAGACTAATAGGCACACCTAGTTGGGCACCAAAGAAGGCTAATATTGCACCTGAATCTATTGGGAATGATAATTCTGACAATAACGCCTTTATTTGCAACGATGATATTTCGTTTACCAAAGACAGTGATTAGATGAAAAATGTACACAGATTATATTACTATGTTATTAATTTTTTTCCTAATAATAAACTTCTGAATTAAAGGCATTTTTCTGAACGTCATCAATAAACTTTATATGAAATAAAAAATGTATATGAGGAGGGGGGGGGAAAGGGTTGTTAGGTGCGAACGACCCCTTTGTTTGCAAACTCTATTTCACACAAGTTTTATATTTAAAATCTAAAAACAATTATATTTGCTATTCTAAACTTTTTTTTTTCTAAAAATTTTCACGTTACGGTGAAATAGTATTAACGTTAACTTCAATTTTTTTTACAAACTTTTTTATTTAATCACTACTTGTGTTTTTATTACCCCACAAGCAAAAATGTGTATATAATGTCAATTTTGTCAGATACAAAGTTCTCATTATTCTAACAATATGTTTTACGGTAAGATTACGGTTAGTATTAAGTAATTTTAGAATTTTTAGAATATGTTTTATTTTTAGTTTGATTGTTATTTATTTGCTAATTTTTTCATTTTACCAGTGTTTGTCCACTCCTCGCTATATATGAGGCTTACCCTTCCAGCTAAACTCTTTAGGCTGTGAGAGTATGTCTTGTCAAGAACGTTAACAATAAATAAACTAATCTCATATGAATACGGGAACAATGTAACGTTACAATGTTACGTATCGTTACGTAAAATGTTACGTCTCAGTTACGTAAAAATAACGGACATTTTGCACGTAACGTTACGTTACAATGTTACGTATCGTTACGTAAAATTTTACCTCTCGGTTACGTAAAAATAACGGACATTTTGCACGTAACGTAACGAATCTCGTTTACGTTAGAATACGTAACGTAACCTAAAAATGTTATAGGGGACAGATGTTGCATAACATAAATCAGTTTAGTTACTCTCTTTCCAATACTTTTTAAATATTCCAATTTCGATACTTTTGTGCCTATTGCAACACTTTTTTTTAGTTACCGAGTCCGTATAATGTTAGCCGCAATCTGCAGACTTGAACATTTATTTTATGCACATTTTAATCATAACAGTCTCAATATATTAAATATTATATTTAAGATGACTAATGTCCTCCTGTTTTGTGCAAGAGCTAAATAAAAAAATAAAATGTCAAATAAGATTTTTATGGTGAACTCATTAAAAAATTTTTTTTTCTACATTTATGTAAGCTGTTTATTGTGTTTTTTTTTCCCTATAAAAACAATGTTTTAATAATTTATTCGGATAAACTGCAGTATATATTAGGGATACTTGACAAATTGTTATCTTTATATAAAGTTTGCAACTAGAACAAGTAAGTCTAGTCACTAGTGAAGCATATTAGAGAAAAGTAGTTATTGGTTATATTAAATAAAGTATTAATGCACTAGTTATATTATTTTACCTGCTATAACACTAAACAAATGTTTAGTGTTATAGCAGGTAATTAAGAGAAGAAAGTAAAAACAGTATTAATGTCTTATTACTAAAAAAAATTTTTTTTTTACTTGCTTCAAATTTATTTTGTTTTAGAAGCCAGCCAAAATCATGACACATTTATACATATTTTGTTATTATTAGAGTTCGCAGCCAGAGAAAAAATCAAGGCAGTATGATGCATTTTATATTTAACTTATATGGTTTAATAGAGTTGTTTGTTTTATGTTTAGTTTATATTTAGTTTATATGGTTTAATATGATTCTTCATTTTATATTTATAACTAACTTTTGTATATTGAAGTACAAAATTCCATTTTAACTTTAATTTAGTTTGATTTATATGGTTATTAGTAAAATAATTTGTTTTATATTTAGTTTCTACATGGTTTTATTCAAGAGTTTTCTACAATTTATATGGTTTATTCAAGTAACTTATTTTATATTCACTTTATACTTATATTTAATATATGTTACATATTAAATATAAGTAAATATTATACTTATATTTAATATATATTAATATTAATAATATTTATATTATAATTAATATATTTGTTTTAGTAAAATTATTCTTTTAGTATTTAGTTTATATTTAGTTTAAACCAGTATGGTTTACTGCAAATATTTGTTAAATAATTAATTAATATTTTATTTAGGTTGAACAGTTTAGTGACGTTATTCATTCTTTTTTTAATTTATATTTACTTTAATTTTATACAGTTTATTGTTCATTCTAAGTTTTGTTTATGTTTAAACTATGTGGTATGGTGCAGTTGTTGGTTTTATATTTAGCGCATATATATATTGAAATTTAATTTACATGATTTATTGGAAGTATTTGTTTTACATTTAATTTGCTTTATATGGTTTAGCAGACCTTCTCAGGAGACGTGTGCAGTCGCACACCTTGAATAACCATTATATAATTTTTTTTTGTTGATAAATTGGCCACGATTTATTTGCATATATTAAAAATGGCTCATTTTAAAAACATGCTGAAAAAATCAAACTAATTTGTCATATTATTTTATTTTTTTATTTAATAATTTATTATTTTAATTACTAATGAGAAAATAAAAACATAATAATATATATATATATATATATATATATATATATATATAATTTTTTTTTGTTCTTATTACAATATATTTTGGTGTAATGTCATTGTATATAAAATATAGAATTATATAAACTCGATAACTGTTTAACAATACAATAGAAATCAGTTGTGGATGAAGTGGAAGGGGGTTATAGCCAAGGGCCGCGTAATATTCGGGCTCCTGAAATATTCAAATGGACATTTTTTTTTTTTTTTGAAGTCACCTTTATGCACACAAAAAAAGCCTCTAAAAAAAAATTAGCCCCTGTTCCCAAAAAAGCCTAATCTGCTACTTGTGGAAAT